AGACAACGGAGAGGAGCAGTCAAGGACAGCAGCAGAAAGAGGGGAGCGCACCTCAGCAAGGGTAGCAACCGAGAGGGAAGCAAGGGCCAAAGAAACCTCCACAGCAGGAACAGGGGGCGCAACCACCGAAATGGGAGGGGAAGGAGCAATACAGTCAGTAGTAGAGGCCGAGGTAGAAAGCGAAGCCTTCTTACCTTCCAGGGAGGAGGAAGGAGAGGAGCCAGGCTTACGCTTCTGACTTAAAGAGACCGGTGTCCCAGCAACTACGTACCAGGCAAAGGATTCCAGCATCTCAGCAGGAGAAGCTGAACGAGAGAACACACGACGGCCGTTAGGAGAGTGATGGACATCAGCCCATACTGACAGGCGGCGGGAAGAGTCAATAGATGGAGGAGAAGGATGGGAAGGAGGATCGGAGGGAGACGAGGAAGAAGACACAGGAGACAAGACAAACCGGGTAGAAAGAAGGAGAACCCCAGACAGAGGACCAGGAGGGGGACCCTTCGGGACAGAACTCAAAGGAACAGAGGAGGGGGCAGTGGGTGTATCACGGTCCAAGGCCCGGAAACGATTGTGAGTCTGAGGAAGGTGGGAAGGACGAGGAGAGGAAGAGCGCAACAAGCGAGCATAAGAGAAGTTAGCATAAGGCGGGAGCCGGCGAACCTGGCGCCTCGCCTCAGGAAAAGATAAACGATCCCGGTGCTTCAAGTTGAGGATGGCTGCCTCAAGCTTGTATTGGATACAAGCACGGGAGAAGGTAGGATGGGCCTCACCACGGTTGAGGCAGCGAGCATGGGGAGAAGTGCACTCCGACTTAGAGTGACCTTCACCCCCACATAAAGGACAGAGAGAGACAGTCCCAGAGCAGCGGAGGGCACCATGCCCAAACCTCCAGCACTTGTTACAGAGCCTAGGAGAAGGAATGTACTCCTGGACAGAGAACCTGGCACCAGCAAGAATGACAGAGGGTGGAAGGGTCCTACCATCAGAGGTAATCTTCACAACCCGAAGGGGTTGACGGCGACGACCACGAGGGGGACGAGTAAACGTGTCCACCTGGAGGACAGAATGGCCCTGGGCATCGATGATATGCCGAATATCATCGTGGCAGTCCTGCAGATTCCGAACACCGGTCGCAACATGGGGCGGGAGGAGAATAGTGCCAACACTGGCATTCAACTCAGCGTTCTTTGAGACCCGAACAGGGGTCTCGCCAAGGCAGGATAAGGCAGCCAAGCGGGAAGCTGCATCCTGAGAAGGAGCAGCAACGACACGTGTATTGAGACGAGTGGGGTTGAAGGTAACAGAGACCTTGTTATAACTGGAACTTGTTATAACAGATAACTGGAATTCATAACCCTTAAAGTGCGCATCATGTCATATGACGTGCTGGACGTTGTTCCAGTCAACTGCGCAACACGTCATATGATGTGTTGGAGTACTACGCAAGATTTAAACAGCCCGTGGATACACGGGGTTCACCACACCTTCCTCAGGGCTCTTGTAAACAGACGCCATTTTTTTTTTAAATCGTGGGCCAAACTCCCGGGTGTTATTGGCCTCGGTATTGAGTGAACAACCAAGCCTGACGCACGCAGCATGAGCTAACAGCACTGCTGTTCAGCTTGTGACCACAGCATCGCCTAAAAATGCCAAAATATACTTGTTCATGCTATTATGTAGCGATGATATTATTACAGAAGTCACCTGACTGTGATAAAACTGACCAGGGTTCTGATAATAGCAGGATTGTGGTGATATTTAGCGCTGTGCGCCATGGAGGGAGGAGTAATGCTGTGGGAGGGAGGGTGGTGGCGATGTCTTCTGTGGCCATCTTTTATTGACTGCACTCAGCATACCAGCTTAGTGGTTCGCTATGGTGAACACAAATGTAGATACTTATATATAACGTGTGTATAGAGGGTATAAACAGCAAGAGAAGGTTTGGAGCTGCCATTTTGGTGAGGGCGGCAGCGTCGTCTGCACGATGCCACCGTGCAGACGACGGTGTTGTTTACTGGTTACCACGATGGTCTTTGGGCACCATACCAGTTTATTTGTACAAGTATGGTGAATAAAACAGGTAGATATTTATATAAAATGTGTATATATAGCGTAAAAACATCACACAGTATTGTTGGAGGAGAAATATTAGTGCGTCTGGCAGATGTAACTGGACCCATTATCACCACACCAGAAATAAATATCTCTTTGATATCCCCAGGGTCAAACTTAATCTGTGTAAACACTCTATGCAAATTAAGGGACCTAGTCTATGGAACTCACTCCCTAGTGAATTGAAAAACTTTAAAAATTTTGCCTTATTTAAAAGCAAAACCAAAAAGTACCTAACTTCATCTTCTTAGTTTCCTACACTGAGCTTTAAATTTGCTCTGTACCTAGTGTTACCCAATCTCCTAATTTTTATGTAATATCAAACAACCTTATCATTGTGTTCATTGCTGTCTTCTTTTATGTGCTAGACATATGCTGTATTGTGACTACCAATTTTTGTCAACTACCATTCAAGCTGTCATTGCAATCAATCTTATATTGTTTCTGCTGTATTGTGCCTACCAATTTGTTGTCAACTACCATTTTAAGCTGTCATTGCAATCAATCTTAGCTACCTATGTGCTTTAATATACTGTACCTACAATTTTCTCTCATCTTCTTTTTTTTTTTTTTCATTTCATGTAATCTGTTACCATTTTTTTGTCTATAAATTTTGCAAGTATTTACCTCCTTAATATTTTCTTAGATTAAGGACCTGCCCGAAACGCTGCGCGTGCTAGTGGCTTTACAAGACTGTAATTACCATATTTGTATCCTCACATTCCTTATGTACATTCTTGTATATGCATAAATAAAATAAAATAAAATAAATAAGGGCGGCAGCCATCAGCTGACTGTGTGAGGTCCTACGTCTTTGTGCCTTTACTCACCATACAAGCTTAGAGGTACAGTTATGGTGAACAAAACATGTAAATACTCATATATAACATCTGTATATAAGATATATAGCGAAATAACACCACACAGTATTGTTGGAGGAGAAATATTAGTGTGTCTGGCCTTGAGGGCGGCAGCCATCAGCTGACTGTAGAGGTCCTACGTCTTTGTGCCTTTACTCACCATACAAGCTTAGATGTACAGTTATGATGAACAAAACATGTAAATACTTATATATAACGTCTGTATATAAGATATATAGCGTAATAACACCACACAGTATTGTTGGAGGAGAAATATTAGTGCGTCTGGCCTTGAGGGCGGCAGCCATCAGTTGACTGTGAGAGGTCCTACGTCTTTGTGCCTTTACTCACCATACAAGCTTAGATGTACAGTTATGGTGAACAAAACATGTAGATACTTATATATAACGTCTGTATATAGTGAATTATAGCAAAAACAGTATTGTGGGAGGAGAATGTGGGTGAGTCAGATGACTGGAGGGAGGGCGGGAGAGGCTGGCTGGTACACGGCGGTCACTCCTCATTACTTTTTGACTCATAATAGCTACTTAGTGGTTCGTTATAGTGAACAAAACATGCAGATACTTATATATAATCTGTGCTTATAGTGTAATAACTGACAAAGTATTTGTTCACTGATTGATGAACATAATTGAATCGACAATATGCACACCATATTTTTGAGTACAGCAATGATTCACTCATTTTATTATATAAATATATCAAACTACACACTATTGAATAATATTACAGCAAAAAAACTATGAAAAATCAGAGACATTGAAATAATTAGGTAATTATCTCTTTGTGGCAACTCCGGCCTGACAGCTGGCGAGCAACAGACCGCCTGGGACGCATGCTGAGTCAGCGCCTATAATTTGCCAGACTTTCCCGCCCTATAGCGGGCAATATATGCCACTTACAATTTTTTAATTATTTTTCCCGAGATCAGTGAACACAAATTAACAGGTTAGAAAGAGAAAATATATTTTTTTTTTTTCAAAATGACATGCGCCTGTGGGAATGACAGGATATGAAACCCCGAGCATGTTAAGGGTTAAGCGACAAAAACGCTGCGCGCACATATACCGCTTTTTTTTAACATTAGCCGGGCGCGCGAAAGTGTTAATATAAGATAGATAGAGCTAGATGTTAGCTATTCTTAGAATTGTTAAAGTAACAAGTAAAGGAATGTCTGGGAAGACTTGTAATGATTGTTACTGTATGATCAGTTGAGTATCGTCCAGGCAGCGATTCTGAGAGTGTTCCCAGGCTAATTCCTCCTTTTCGAGTGTCCTCTTTGACTAGGAGGTCTTACGACCTTGTGGGCTATTTCTCTTACGTCTCCTCATCCTCCTCTCTTCTCTCTCCTTATTCTGTATTACCAAATTAAGTATCTTATTATAGAATTACTGTGCCATTAGCTAGGTTTTTGAGTGTTCTCGAAGCCAGTGTTTTGGAGTCCTAAGTGTTACTCTAGGGTTGCTAGAGAGACCATGTGTGCCAATGTTACAGTGATACCAGTGTGTGTGTTCTGTCCTTCAGGAAAGTAGTCTTTACCACTAGGTTGCTGGTTGTAATCCTTGTCTCCTGCCTATGTGGATTCAAAGGTTTAACGTAAGATAGAGTTGGTAAAGTAATTTTTTTATTTTTGTATATGGGGGTTATTAGGGGTTAATAAATAAGTATTAAGTTTATATTAGGAGTATCCTTTTACTCTGTTTGGAGTGGAGTAAGTTAATCACCTTTAGACTACAGACATCTTTAGGACAAGTATTATTTCCTGGGAATTGTCTTCCCTGGGGGCTGGGCCTAACCTAACTCCCACTATTTTAGGAACTCCTTGACCTTAGTTGTTGGCCTCACCGAGCAACCTCTAGCCCCCCCCCATAACACTCATGGTTCCTGATAGGCCTAAGAACTCCATTTGCTTGACTGATGCCAGGGTCTAATACATTCATATCAGCTTGGTTAGCTCCGGGAAGCCGAAGGGGCTTTCCCCCCAGAAAGGCATGTATACTTACATTATATGCATAATTTTATTTTTGCAAGATACAGGTTTAGTTGTACACATAACTATTCTAACAATTACTTTATACATTTTAACTGACAATTTGTATAAAATTTAACTTTGCTGCAAAGTTAAAGAAATATTTGAAATAAAATGAATGAAATCAAATTAAGAGTATTTTACGAGAAATGTTTCTCTACTACCTCCCTCCTTACTGCCTGGCCACTTGCTGATGCATTATGAATCTTGTGTTCACTTTGGGGTAGATCATCATTACCAATGAGATCCTCTATGGGTATTCTCTCCTGTATGCAATAATTGTGAAGCAATATACATGCTATTGCTATCTTAGAGCATTTCTCTGGTTCATGTTTCAGACAACCCCCAGAACTGTGAAGACATCTAAACCGTGACTTTAATAAAACAAATGTTTGTTCAATCACTACTCTCGTTTTGGAGTGACTCCTATTATAGAACACTTCTGGAGGGTTTCCTGGAAACTTGAAGGGTGTCATGATGTAAGGTTCCTGGGGATAGCCACTGTCACCTGTAGAGGTAGAAACATTTTGGCATTAGAGAGAGCTCTGCAGTAATTATCTTAATAGTTTAAGGTTTTTATTAATTACACAACAATTATATAAAGGTTTTGAATAAAATCCAATACTGAATATAATGACACACCACTTTCTGGTTAGTCCTTTGGTGGCTTCCCTAGCTACCCACCTGGTGAGCTCAACAGATGCAAAGTAAGAATATACTTACTAGATCACCACAGTAATCTGAAGGAAAACAAAAACTTGAAAAGTTAGGTGCAAACAAAACTAGCCTCTTCATGAAAAACAATGATAACCGTAACATGAACATGGACATGCTTGGTAGCTGCAGGCAACCACAAGTTAGTAATCATCATTCACTACCAAACAGCAGCCCTGGCCACCACAGGATACTAACAAAATGGCTTCCTCATTCAAGCACTGCCCATGCAACAACCCAAATATGGAAAAAGGGACAGGCAGGAACCAATGAACCCACCAGAAAGACGCTTTTTGTTACATTAACCCATGGACGCCACAGCTAACAGCTGACAACATCGTTTTGCACGAGGAAAAATATATACATTTTTTCCTTCTGAAATTATTAAAATATGTTCCCTGATCACGGGATGTAAGAGAAAAACCATTGTGAAGTGTATACAGTAACTCAGTATATTTAACTCTTGAATTTAGATTGGGATTGAAAATAGATAGAAACAGAAGTGTTAAATGTTGAAAAACAGTCTGGAACTTTTGTTGAACTCTTGAATTTAGAATCCTCGCCAGTACAATAGTCAGTTCTGCACATGTGCAGAGTATTGTCATAACGGGCAACTTATCCTCCAATTTAGATATATAATGATGATCGTCAACAGTTAGGAATTTGTACCTAACTTTTAGGTAGTACTATTCTGACTGGTAAATTAAGAAACAATTCCTTTAGGAATTACAGTAATGCAAAAATAATTATTTTTGCTATAGTTCTGGGTGGTAATTTCTTGCTCACCTAGAACCTATCACAAAGAAGCATCACTATTGGCCAAGTGCTCATATCAAGTTTAACTCAACAAAACACACAAAAAAAAACCAGCACACAAGACTTGCTAATCGTCAACAGTGACACTCCACTGTGATGCATCTTCCAACATCATAAATCGTTCAGTCATCCATAGGTGAAAACCATCACACAAACTGCACCATTCATGAAGAAACACCACCACCATTGGCCACAAATTGCTCATATCAAGTCAAAATCTTAAAACAGCGCTAATTGTACAGTGGTACCTTCGTTTCCAAATTTAATCCGTTCCCAGAGACAGGTCATAAGCCAAAAATTCACAACCCAAAACAAATTTCCCATGAGAAATAATGTAAATTGAATTAATCCGTTTCACACTCCCAAAAATATTGACTTCTAAATACATTTCATACATAATACATACAAATATTTTGTACTATAGTATGTGCAAGTTATAGCTTCCCTATTGGGGAGCCGGTTGGCCGAGCGGACAGCACACTGTACTTGTGATCCTGTGGTCCTGGGTTCGATCCCAGGCGCCGGCGAGAAACAACGGGCAGAGTTTCTTTCACCCTATGCCCCTGTTACCTAGCAGTAAAATAGGTACCTGGGTGTTAGTCAGCTGTCACGAGCTGCTTCCTGGGGGTGAAGGCCTGGTCAAGGACCGGGCTGCGGGGACACTAAAAAGCCCCGAAATCATCTCAAGATAATCTCAAGATAATCCCTTTATTGATGACTCTTGTTGGTGCATGGAAGATGGTGAGGCGGGGAGGAAGGAGAGGTGTTAAGTGTTTGGAAGGGAAGTCCCCTTCCATTATAACATCAGGCAGTGATGACTCTCCCTGGGGGTACTCACTCTCTTTGCAGTTCTTTCCATACTACACATATTTTCTTAATCACTGTGCTGCGCCAACCGAAAAAACTCGTTCAGTGGGAAACTGCGGCAACCAAGAAAACACCTTTTGAATATTTTTCTGTCGGTGAAATTCAGACCTTATTGTTTGAAGAACACAAGGGTCATGATATTGATGAAGCTAGGTCCAATAATGACCTGACACAAGTGATACAACACTAATGAAGATGATACAGCAAGTGTATCCAGTAGTAGCTGATTGCTATCCATGCTCACCCATGTTATTTATTTATATATATACAAGAAGGTACTTTGGGATTGTGAGGATACATAGCATAGTAATTACATTCTTGTAAAGCCACTAGTATGCGCAGCGTTACGGGCAGGTCCTTAATCTAAGAAACATATAAGTAGGTAAATACTTGCAAAATTTATAAATATGATAACAGTTACATAGCATGAAAAAAAAAGATGAGAGAAAAATTGTAGGTATATTAAAGCACATAGGTAGCTCAGAATTATTGCAATGACAGCTTGAATGGTAGTTTAACAAAACTTAGCAGGCACAATACAGCATATGGCTAGCACATAAAAGAATACAGCAATGAACACAATGATAAAATTGTTTTTGAGCACATGTTAAAATTGTTTTGATTAAGTACATAAAGATTGGGAGATTGGGTAACACTAGATACAGAGCAAATTTAAAGCTCAGTGTAGGAAACTACGAAGATGAAATTAGGTACTTTTTTTTTTTTTTTAAATGAGGCAAAAGTTTGACAGCTTTTCAATTCACTAGGGAGTGAGTTCCATAGATTAGGTCCCTTAATTTGCATAGAGTGTTTACACTGATTGAGTTTGACCCTGGCGATATCAAAGAGATATTTATTTCTGGTGTGGTGATAATGGGATAATGGATCCTATTAAATCTGTCCAGGGAGAGTTTCAGAGCATGATTTTCATTTAAGAACAGGGTTTTGTAAATGTAGTTGACACAAGAGAATGTGTGGAGGGAGTTAATATTTAGCAAGTTAAGGGATTTAAACAAGGGAGCCGAGTGCTGTCTGAGAGCAGAGTTTGTTATTATTCTGATAGCAGATTTTTGCTGGGTGATGATGGGCTTAAGGTGGATTGCAGTGGTAGACCCCCATGCACAGATACCATAATTAAGATAGGGATAGATTAGTGCATAATATAGTGAGAGGAGAGCAGAGTTAGGAACAAATATCTTATTTTGGAGAGCATTCCAACTGTTTTAGAGACTTTCTTAGTTATGTGTTGAATGTGGGTGCTGAAGTTGAGTCTCTTGTCTAGGAATAGGCCAAGAAACTTTCCATCATTTTTATTACTGATGTTAATGTTGTCTATCTGTAGCTGAATTGCATTCGATGATTTGCTTCCAAATAAGATGTAGTAGGTCTTTTCTATGTTTAGTGTTAGTTTGTTAGTTGACATCCATAAGTGGACTATTTTTAATTCATTATTCACATATTATTATGTAGTGTATGTGGGTTGGGGTCTGAATAGATGAGGGTAGTATCATCAGCAAACAATATAGGTTTAAGAATATTAGAGACATTAGGCATATCATTGATATATATAAGAAATAGAAGAGGTCCTAAGATGCTACCCTGTGGCACTCCAACAGTTATTGGTAGAGTGGAAGAGGTTGTATCATTGATGGTTACACATTGGTGTCTGTCACTAAGATAGGATCGGTGTGGGAGTTTTCTTTTTTGCTTTCACGACTGCAATGCATACGTCGCCAATGTACATCTGGCAGATGCTTCATGAAACTGTCGGAATTAGCAGAATAGAAAATACGAGAGCAACCGTACAGGACCTGGGAGCAAGGTCGAGTTAGAGTCCTTGAGGGTCTCTTCTTAGACTATCCTCACCTGGTCCTGCTCCACGTTGATCGTTGGAATCTCCCCAATGATTTAACACTTTAAGGGACTCCCAAGGTCCTCATCACATTTATAGTTAAGTGAATATAGGCAACTCGGTGTTGAAGACACCTAGAGCTGAAGGGTTGAGTAATGTTGGCAGTATTCAGAAGTGGTTCAACGGAAACACCGCATAAAGCTTAACAGTAGTTTATTTACTAACTTAACCACTAATACAAAGGGTGCTTGATTTACTTTAGATTGACGTCAGAAAGGCTATGGTTGCATTAGCGAGACTCTTGACGTCTGGGTAATCGACTCGAATCCACTTATGGAGAAACACCTAACTTAACACAATTGACAGCCAATCATTAACACGGCAACCTAACTGCCTGTATGCAAAGGGATTACAAGAGTTCCAACCAGATACTTGGGTAATGATGATATGCAATAAATCACAAATCACGCATACACCGTCGATTCACCTATAACCTGTGACAGGTATGAGAAGGTGAGAACTGTGGTTGATCCCTCAGATCAACACAGACACAATAAAACAATGACAAGATCTTGTACTTACAGATGGGGGTACCTCTCTTACTCACTCACTCAGGCCCATTTATACAAGCACTCGTAGGTGGCCTGATAGCTGGTTTTGCTCGTAGACACGGAGGGTACTCGCAGTAGGGCATGCTGTATGCTTAACAGACAGACACACGCACACACACTGGCACTGGCAGTGAGTAAGGTGGTGACATCACTTAGTACAGTGAGGGCGGCGGCGGGTGCTCGAGGCTACACACTCTGGACAGAGTGGCGGCTGGCGGTGGCTGTGGTACCATGCAGGTACACTTGTGGTAAAGTTACGCACAGGTTACTTAGGCGGCGGCACTGCTTTAGTTCACTCTAGGTCACTCACAACGATCTTTGTCACCAGGGGTTACCTGATACCAGTCTGTTTTGCTCTGGTGATTTTGTCACTATAGGCGTCTGAACAGTATATTCACACTCGTGATTCTGGGCGAGTGTGGGTATATCGAAAAGACGTTGAGTTAACTTGACGGTGAGGAATGGACGATGTTCAGTCTATTGGCCGTTAGACAGAACAGGACACGTCCTCTGTGTAAGGGCTCCCTCACGTGAATACTTTTGCCTGAGGCTCAGGGCGTCTCGTGGGCACACAACACAAAAGGTTACAATTTGACCAATAGCATTGCAGTAAATGAGCAGGACCCAATCATATTGGTCGTACGATGA